TATAAAGTTGTTATCTTGAGCTCTAGTTGCTTAGATCCCTTTCCTTGGAAGTAAATGTCCATTTTTAGTGCAAACTGGAGTCATACTCAGATCTAGACTTATCACAAGGATATGGTTCTAGAATTGGACCTCTTTTGGTCACCATTGACATAAAGTTGCTCACTTTATCCAGCTTAGGCCCTTCTCATTAGGGATGAGAGTGGGTCCAAACCCGGACCGCTAGACCCAGACCCGGGAACCGGTTAAGAAGATTTTGTAGGACAAGAAACTGGACCGGTATACAGGAATCGGTTCTAGTTCGGTTACGGGTAAGGTAACGGATAAAGTGGGTCTAGAACCAAAAAACCTAAAAATATCCAAATGGGTCGGATGCAACTGGATAAAGTGGGTTTAGAACCGAAAAACCAAGGAAAATCAGAATTTTTTGGTAATTACTTAGTGATTGAAGTTTGAAAATTTTCAAATTTGATATACTAACTTCGGGGTCCTGTAATTCATTGAATATTAAAACCAAAAATGATAAAATTATAGTCTAAAATCAGGTACAAACTCTAAACTACATGTTGCAAAAAACAATCATGATAATTCAACTTTAAACGAATTAGATATGCATGATTTATAATTTCATAGAATACAAAAATAAAGCTAAAAAAATTGTAACTTTGATATCCCGACTTTGGGAGACTATAAATAAAAGAATATGAACCCAAAAATTACAAAATTATAGTCTAAAATCATGTACAAACACTATACTACACTTTGGAAAAACTACATGCTATTCCGACTTCAAACTAATTAGATATACGTGTTTTAAAACTATCACATAATACAAAAAATGGTGAAAAAGATAAAATTTCCAACGTTGATATCCTGAATTTGATAGACAATAAGTCAATGAATATAAACCTAAAAATGACAAAATTTTATTCTAAAATTATTTACAAACTATAAACTACACTCTGGAAAAAATCTCATGTCAATCCGACATGAAATGAATGAGATATGCATGTTTTAAAACTATCACAAAATACAACAAATCTAAAAAACAAAAAACATCCAGCTTTGATATCTCGACTTTGAGAGAATGTAAGTCAATGAATATTAACCAGAAAATGAAAAAACTGTGGTCTAAAATTATGTTCAAAATATTAACTACACTCTGGAAAAAACCTCATGCCAATCCGACTTCTAACGTATGAGATATGCATGTTTTAAACTTTTCATAGAAACTAGTTCTGGTTCATAACATGGTTCTAGTTCTTAAACCCGGTTTACCCGGACCCGAAGGACCTGAAACCCAGATTACCCAGAACCTGGATGGAGCCATTCTTTAAACTCAGGACACGTACCAGTTTTACATATTCCGGTTCTAATGGTTCCGGTTCCGGTTCGTGTTCAGTTTTCCAATTTTAAATCTCATCCCTACTTACCATGCACAAAAACCTTGTTGGATGTTTAGTTATGATGTTATGACCTTGGAGGGCCTTACGTTCACGTAAATTTTGTAACTTTAATTCGTATCTACTCTAGGGGAGGTTGGATCTGAAGTTTGGGATGTATTATCCCACTGAAAGGGCTGAACATGAAATGGATTGAAGGAACTCATCGAGTCCCTTAGTTGACTTGACGAGTCGGGGTAGAGTTTTCCATATTTGAGTTTCTGATTGAGTGAAATAAAGGAGTAGGGTTTTGGTATGCATGGAATTCAGGTCTTTTGTAAATTTGATGAACTCGACGAGTCAAAGGATACTCGGCGAGTTGGCTCTGGATTTAGTGGAATGACCTCGGGAGGAACTCCGCGATTTGCTGGATGCACTCGGTGAGTTGAGGTTAACATGGACTGTTGACCTTGACTTTAACCAGGGTGGACTAGGGTTAACTTTGAGGTTATTTATTGGGATTGTGACAAGTTAATCACATGTTTATAGTAGGAGGCTTAGGAGGAGCAGTGCGTAGGAAATATTTGGTCTTAACTTATCAGTTCAGCATTAGAGAGGTGTGTCTCTTCACCATACCAATGGTTCGAAGGTACCAAGGCCAGCCCATTTAAGATATGTGGTACTTTATCTGAAGTTATATTATGAGACATGATAGTTGGTTATGTGGTAGGATTGTGTGCTAGTTGTATATGTGGTATGTTTGTATGGAAGACCATAGGAGAGCCCATGACACCTACATGTAAGACCATCTGGAGAGCCCATGGCTTTCCTACTAAAGACCATGTGGAGAGCCCATGGCAATAGATGTACGACCATATGGAGAGCCCATGGCTTTCCTAATATATACCATTGGAGAGCACATTACACTTAGGTGTAAGACCATGTGGGGAGCTTATGGCATCCTAGAGTAAGACCCTGGGGACGAGCCTATGTTATATGCAATGGATTATGTGATATATGTTGCTTTGTGGCTAATATGATATGTGATTATGTGGATTGTGTGTGGGGTACTCTCTGGGGAACTCACTAAGCATTAGCTTACAGTTTGTAGATTTGTTTCAGGTACTTCACAGCCTAAAGGTATGGGCAAGGCTTGATGGCGTGACGTGAACTCTCCGACATTTGTTTTGAATAAACGATAATGTTATGAATTTTGGAAATAGTGATCAATGTTACTCCACATTTTATGGAAATGTTTGGCTAATTAGAAATGAAAATTTTTATTTGAAAAATTAAGTCGTTACGGTTTATTGTATAGTAAAGCAATTTGGGTATCGATAACATGGAATGAATTCAGTATACTAAAATAACTACTAAAAAATAATCTAAAAGCAAAAAATAATCAAAAAGGGCTCTCTATCTGATTTTACAAGTTCAGATTAACTTAAACACTCAAATAAAAACGATTATAAACAATATTTAGAAGACACTTCTGTTTAGCCTCGAATCCCCCTTATTCCTATGTGTAGTTTCTAAGTATGGACTTATTCAGTTGATTACCAATTTAGATGTATTAGCAAACTCGGTCCGATCTACTATATTTTTTCCAATTCATGTATTACTAATTAATGGTCATATACAAGCAAACAAATAATTGATTAATAATGATAATTAGGCTATATACGATATATCTAGATAATTATCTATGGTGAAGACAATTAATCAAACACATTTATGATCAAATTATTTTCTCCAACACAGCTAAAGTTGTTACCTTTATTACTTAATCTAAGATGTGGTTAATCCTAGCTCTAAAAATTTAATGGTAAAAAACTACTAGGTAAACAAGTTCATGTAATTTAATGGTCATTAAACTGCACTTAACTTGAATCAAAGCAAAAAAGATGCAAACTTTAACATGCCAGGTAATGATAATCAACACATGTATAAAACCAACTACATCAAATCCAAATATAGAAAACTAGCACATAGTATTAGGGTTCATCTATACTAAATGAAAGCCTAATATTTAGATACTGATGGCAGTAAAAAAGCACACAGAACCATAAAATTTCGACAAATAATGTCCACTTTAGGCTGAAAAATGCAATTTAAACATTATAAGTACCAAATATCTTCACAATTAACCAAAATATGTATTAAAATAATGCCTAGAAATATGTGTAAATATGGCACTATCAAAATACCCCACACTTGCATTTTGCTTGCCCTCAAGCAAAGCTAATCTTTTAAGTTAGACCTTCATCACCAACATTACATAAGACAATCCATTTCCCTAAATACTTCCCAATCCAAAGTATTCACAAACTTTATGAACATTCACCCCTTAGTTTATACGACACTCATTTTGCAACCCTCCGAATCCATCCTCATAAATCTTTCTTAACCACAAGATATTTTTGCATAAGTTACCAAAAATACATATGATCTAGAAAGAATTACAACTTTGATACCACAATGGGGCTCTTATAACTCATCTCTTCTTTGATATTTTCTCTTTTATTTCTTTGAATTTAACACCTTCTTATTTGATTATTGTTTTCTTCAATTTTTGGTTCTTCGTAATTTTTGATCTTTCAATCTTGATACTTTGAAAGCTCTAAAATTCTTTCAACTTTTTTGTAATTTCTCTCTTTTTTTTATCTCACTTTTTGTTCACTTAAAGCCCACATGCTAAAGAAAGGAGCTTAACTTCAACCTTTATTAGCTAGATGTATTAGTCTAATTGTAATGAGTACATAAGCTCTCCTGGATGGATTTCAGGTATACACTGTAAATAATGGGAAGCCACAAATATATATATATATATATATATATATATATATATATACATATATATATATATATATATATATATATATATATATATATATATATATGCCATGTGTTGGCTCAAGTAAACATTTAGGCTCTCATCGGATCATCCCACACAATACTAGCAAAAGAATTTAATTGGCTTGATTTTCCTAATTTAAACTATTATTTCAAGTGTATATGAATGCATATTGTAAAAACAAGCAATTTCATGATAATGCAAATTATCAAAAATCAAATTCTTTTTCCTAATGTAGTAAACTCCCTACCCCACACTTATTTGATGCAATGCCCTCATTGAATGTTATGAAAAACATACAAGTAAAGAGGGAAAAAAGGGGAACAGACTCCCCAGGGATAGAAATTGCAAGTCTGATCATGTTGCTTATGTGTAGGATCGCTCGCCACGTGGTCTGAAGTGGGTGACAATTAATTTTTGTTTTCTATAACAACACCATGTCGTGGTGAGTGTAAAAACGCAAAAATAAGTGCATTTCTCAGCAGATTTCTTCAATATATTGATCACTAATGATGATATGAACTTCTTGAAATGTGACTCATCGGCTTGGATGATCAAATTAACAATCTATATGCTCAAATTCACCTCTCTAACCACATTCCTAACCCCTCACTTAAATGCATCAAAGTCTCTCGTGAAAAATACTAGTCTCACCATACTCGAACCACTGGGAAATCTAGAGACACAAAACGATAAAAACAATGAAACAAATAAAACCAAATACTTAAATCCTACAATTACCAACATCCTAGAAAATAGAAAACTAATCAAACAAAAATAAATAGAATTGTCTTAAATCCACTCAACAAATAAAAAAGGATAATTTCACTCATCGTTATCATGTCCTCGTCCACTTTCGCTAGCTTCTCAATGTTGCTCCACTCGAATCTTGTCCCATGTTCTAATGTAGGGTATGACATCGGATACACAATTAGGCGTTGGATGTTCATATGTTGCATCAAAATGTCGAGGTGCATATTGGTGAAATTAACCCCTCTACCCATTTTTTCTTGATATGGGCGCAAAGCAACATTGTACGGGTCTAATGGCAACTCATCCTCGGTAGGAATCTTGGGTGGCTCTTCTTCCGCATCACATACCCTTTGTCTCACTCTTGTTCTGGGCCAGTCTCTTGGGTTGTCATTTGGAAATGAACAGTTCCTAAACCCATTATCCACCACAATATTTGCTTGTTTGTAGAGAAGTAGACTAAAAGGCATGCTAGTCTCTACCATTAGCATAAAAGCATCCCGTTTTTGGAGGACTCAAAATGACCTTTCCGACCTTGTGATTAACATGCCACCATACGAAGGAGACCATGACGATATTTTCCGACCCGTGTTGATAAAAAGTCAACCACATGTCACAAAACATTAATAAGGACACCCATAGTGATGAGACTCAATAGTAAATAAACATCTAAAGTTTAGACTTTGTCCCCCCCTACATTTGGTTAATGGTATTAGTGATCAATCATTGCAAGAGGCGATGAACAAGAGACAAAATTTCACTTTCTTAGGTTGTCCCTGATTGGTACACACCATTGGTATAGTTAGGCCAATAGTTTGCTTCTTTAAATTCATCATTGGTAGTGAGACGTTAGCAATAAACTCAATCTATGATTTTGTATGAATCTCAAACGGAAGATAAGTTCCATCCTCATGGAGAAAGTCCGCCAAGCGTAATTCTCTTCTTTCCCTGCCCAAGCAAAAAGTAATGCGTTTTCGATCGCGAATGCCTTTTTCTTGAGAAAGTGCACCATGGCCAAAAATTCTACACAAAGTTCTTTGTACACAGGTTCCTGGATGTGAAAAAGACGTCTCCAGGCCAAGCATATAAGCCAGCGTTAGAACCCGTCAAAAGACTTTGTTAAATTCAGTTTAATTTCCTCCGATAGGCCAATTTCTTCCATCCAATTCCAGCTAAGTTTCACAGGTATGTGCACCATTTGTTCTTTTAACCATGCAAGCTTCTACTTCCGTTGAATCATCACTTCAGGAGCTACAACATTCGGGAAGTGAACCATGGGAAATTGGAGCGACTCCTAGGTTGATTTATGCGACCTTGACCCTAAATTTTCAACAAAAGGAACATAGAACACTATTCAAAATAGAAAATTGAGATTTAGGTAGAAAATTAATCAAAGCATACTGAATTAACAGTGATCACAATGAGTCTTTATGGTCGATGAATATTTCATATAATCGAGATTGAAATCGAACAAATGTAGTCAAATTAGACTCAAATCACGTTTTGGGTTTTACTTAGGCCATAAAATACATGTTTTAGAGGAAGATTCATAGCAAAAACTACCAAAATCAAGCTCGAATTTAACTAATTTTCAGAACCCTAACTAACTAAATCCCAAAATAAAGGCTCAAATCAGCAAATTTATACCATAGATGCCGTTATACTTGACTATTAACTAAGAAAAACACTTAAAGTCATACTTTTTTTGTTGGAAAAAGTCGAAATTGAAAGAAAGTTTTGATGATGAACTCGTGGGATAGCAGGCACGACGTGAGTAAGCATGAAGTGTAAAATCAAAAGATATGTTTTTTTTAGTTTAAAAACCCTATAAATCGACTGCGGTGAACAGTTACCATGTCGTGGTTTGGGCACCACATCGTGGTGTTTTTTCGAAAATCGTGTTGTCGAGTTCTATGAAGTCACCATGTCGTGGTGTATTATACTACATTGAAAATGGTTTATTTTGGGAAATGTTTTATAAAATCTTCCACCACACACTCATTACATGCTTTCCCTCTCAACAAAATCCACATAAAAATTACGAGGATTGAAAAATCCACAAAAGGAAACAAAATAATCAACTAAACGAAAAATAAATCAAATAATATAAAAAGGAAAGAAAAGACAAACTCTAAACCACAGGTTTCCTCCTGCAAGAGCTTCTATTTTGGGAGTCATGAGTCCGACTCCTTCTCGTTGTATATTGATGCGGTTATTGCACAAGGTTTTTCCTTCAGTTTCCTCAATTGGAATTCTATAGCAACATGTGGAAATACTTGTTTTACAATAAATGGTCAGTCCCAACGTGTTTATAATTTCCCCGAAAAAAGTTTCATTCTTGAGGTGAAAAGCATAACCTTTTTCCTTCTAGAAAATCTTCACGTCCTCTGAACCTTGCATCATGTCATTTCTTCGTTTTAACTTTGTAGATCAAGGAGCTTGTGTATGCTTCATTTCTCAGTTGCTCTAGGGCATTCATTTGCATTAGACAATTGGTTCATAGTTCCAATTAAGAATTGCAATTCTTCAAAGGCCATAACGCCTTATGTTGAATTTCTACCGGTAAATGGCATTTTTTTCCAATGACAAACCTATATGATGTAGTACCGATAGGTGTTTTAAAGGCGGTACGAAATACCCACAATGCATTATCTAGCTTTTTCGACGACTCCTTTTTATTGTTACCAACTAATCGTTCAATAATTCTTTTTAATGCCTAATTTGTGACTTTAGTTTGCCCACCTGTTTGTGGATGATAGAGTGCCGAAAATCTATCATATACACGATATTTTTGTAACAATTTGGCTAGTTTTTCATTTGCAAAGTGATTTCCCTGATCACTTATTACAACGCTTGGTATACCAAGACGAGAAAATAATATATTTAGAATTCTTACTACCACCCGATCATCGTTTATAATTAAGGCTTCTGTTTCTGCCCATTTTGAGACACAGTCAACTGCCACCAGTATGTACTTATTCCTTCGAGAAATCGAAAACAATCATATAAAATCGATACCCTAAACATCAAATACTTCACAAACTTGGATGCTATTTTGCGGCATCTCATTTCGTGATGAAATGTTATCCGATCGTTGGCACGAATCACATTCAATTACAATTTTGGTGGCATCATTGAAAACTATAGGCGAATAGAATCATGAATCAAATATCTTCTTTATCGTGTAATGTGCTCTATAATGTCCTCCGATGGGCCCGTTATGACAATGCTTCAAGATTTACAAAATTTCCTTCCTGAATATACATCTCTTTATCATACCATCAACACAACTTTTGAAAAGATATGGTTCATCCCAAAAATAGTACTTGATCTCTAAAAATAATTTCTTCTTTTGTTGATGAGTTAATCCTTATGGAGGATAACCACTAGCTAAATAATTGGCTATATCAGCATACCATGGCACCTCTTCTGTAATTACCATTAGATATTCTTTAGGAAAATCATGTCCAATCTTGTGTTCTTCTAATTTTTCCATTTCCAAGTTTTCTAGTCTTGAGAGGTGATCAGCCGACACATTTTCCAAACCCTTTTTATCCCTTATTTCGATATCGAATTCTTGTAAAAGTAGCACCCATCATATCAATATTGGCTTAGCATCCTGTTTAGCAAAAAAAATTAAGTGCATAATGGTCAGTAAAGACAATAGTTTTAGAAAAAACTATGTATGGCCAGAATTTGTCAAAAGTATAAATCACGACAAGAAGCTCTTTTCTATGGTGGAATAATTTTCTGGAGCCGGATTTAGTGTCTTTGTTGCATAATATATAGGTTGAAAATGCTTATCAATATTTTTTCCAACGACTGCCCCTACCGCAAAATCACTAGCATCGCACATGAGCTCAAATAGGGGGTTCTAAATCAGCGCGATCACGATCGAGGTGTTGGTTAATTTCTCTTTCATCAATTGAATGGCTTCAAGATATTCATTTGAGAAATCGAATATGACATCTTTCAAAAGAAGTTGGGTTAAAAGCCTTGTAATTTTTGAGAAATCATTTATAAATCAGCAGTAAAATCTCACATGGCCCAAAAAACTTCTTACGCATTTTACATTTGTTGGCGGTAGTAATTTGGCTATAATGTCAAGCTTTTCATGATCCACTTCTATCCCCAATTTGAAGACTTTATGACCCAACCCAATCCCTTTTTTGACCATGAAATTGCACTTCTCCCAATTTAAGACAACGTTGGTCCTTTCACATCTTGCAAGTATCAAATTTAGGTTAGACAAGCAATCGCCAAAAGAAGACCCAAAAACTAAAAAATCATCCAAGATGACAACCATTCACTTTTCAACTATATCGTGAAAAAAGGCACCATGCATCTTTATAATGTGGCTAGTGCATTGCATAACCCTAATGGCATCCGTTGATAAGCAAAGGTCCCACTTGGGCAACTGAACATGGTATTTTCTTGGTCATGAAGATCAATAGGGATTTGAAAGTATGCAGAAAAACATCTAAAAAGAAGTAATAAAGGTGACCAGATAATCTATCGAGCATTTGATCAATAAATGGTAAAGGAAATGGTCCTTGTGTTTAGCTTGTGATAATCAACGCACACACGCCAACAAAATATCATTCTTGTTGGAATGAGCTCGTTTTCTTCATTTGTCACTACCTTCATGCCTCCTTTTTTATGTACCACATGAAACGGGCTCACATATTGGCTATCCAATATTCAATAAATGATACCGGCATCCAAGAGATTAACTACCTGTTTCTACATTACTTCTTGCATGTTCGGGTTTAATCATTTTTGGCGTTGCACTACTGATTTAGCTCCCTATTCTAAATTGGTTTTATGTGAAAAATATGAGGGACTAATGCCTTTCATGTCGGTGATCTTCAATGCGATGGCATTTTTCATTTCTTGAGTACTTCAACTAGCCTTTCCTTTTCGTGTTGTGTGAGATCAACTGCTATTATGACTGGATTTTGTTCATTTTTTTCCATGAATTCGTACTCTAGATTTTTGGGAAAAGATTTCAACTCGATTTTTTATTTTTGTTTAGTGACACGACATGAGCATCTTTCCACATCATGGTGTTCCAGCTTTTTATGTCTGATCGAGTAAATCCAGATTGCCACATTGTGGTGTCATTACCACAACGTGGTGGGTCTTCACTAGCCTTCTTCAATTCATTGTACTCACTCTCTTCTAGTAGTTTCTCTATTTCTTACAACTCATGTTCAGCATGAAAATCTCCTTCTTGTAGCACCATGTAACCCTTAGATTCTTTTCCCTTCCAACCTCCAAGCTCTTTCTCCAAAATTTCATCGAACACATCTACCAAGAAAGCCATACCAACACTTATTCTTGAATGATTTATTGCTCTATTAACCCCAAAAGTTACCACTTCTTCACCAACACGAAGGGTGAGTTTAGATTCTCTTATGTCAACCAAGGCCCGGGTGGGGCTCAAAAAGGGCCTTCGAAGAATATTTGGTACTTGTTCATATTC